AGCGGATGCTTAGCTAGTGGGCACTCGTGCAATTATTGAAATATCTGGAATTTAATGTACAATTTCAGAAACACGATGGCTTTTAGGTTCCATAAGAAACTAAAAGTGCAAAATACTGCCCTGGCTGATTTGGCTCAGTGGTTAGAGCATTGGCCTGCGGTCCAGAGAGACCTGGGTTCGGTTCCCGCTAAGGGCACGTACCTCAGTTGCAGTTCGTCCCCGGCCCTGGTTGGGTCGTGCTGGTGGCAGCCACTCGATGTGTCCTTTTCACATCAATGTTTCTCTCTCTCTCTCTCTTCCTCTCTCTCCCTCCTGCTCTATCTGAACAAAATGGGAAAATGTCCTCGGGTGAGGATAAAAAAAAAAAAAAAGACATATACAAGTATATAACTGTATACATCATTTGTGTAAATTATGGTTGGATATATTGAGTGAGTAGGAGAGAAAGAATACTATGTTATAAGAATGTATTTAATGTGTGTGCTTATCAACCCCCAACTAGGGTCTGAGTTTCTCAAGAATAGAAACTTTATACCCAAGTTCCAACATAGTGTCTGAAACACTGTAGGTTCAATAAATGTTTTCTGAACCTATGTTTCTATTGACTGGGTTTTCATAAATACTTTCAGATTAAATTTACCTTTCTTTCTTTTTTTTTTAATCCTCACCCGAGAATACTTTTTTCCATGTATCTTCAGATAGAATGAGATGGAGGGAGGGAGAGACAAACATTGACATGAGAGGGACACACCGATTGGTTGTCTCCCGCATGACCTCCAACCAGGGCCAGGGATAAACCACAACAGAGGTATGTGCCCTTGACCAGAATCAAACCCATAATTCATTTGTCTGCAGGCTGACACTCTAACTGCTGAGCCAAACTGGCCAGGGCAAATTTATCATTCTTAAAGTACTGTCAACAGGTATACCCACATGGTGTCTCAATCTTGCTTTAATTTTACTTATTTATACCCATTTCTCTACTTCTTTTAATGACTAAGAATTAATTAGAAGAACAAAAACACATCTAAACATTCACACTCTTACGTTTTCCTTGGGAATTTCCAATTGTGACTTCTTTTTATGCATTGTTAAAAATGCCTTTGTGCAAATCAAGGGCTAAGAGTTAAATATCTCCTTTATGATGTTTAGGTTATTTTAAAAAAGTATTTGCATACTTGAATGCTCCAGTTAAGCTGCTTTACCTTCATTGTATAGTAGATACTTACATTTCATTTCTTTGATTTTTTTCAATGGAATTCACTGCAAAAAAAAAAGTTATAAGTATAGTGACTGATAGCAGAGATAAAATCATTTTCATAAAGAATTTATATTAGGAGGAATATCCAATAATATTATAAAAGTCATAGATTCTGTAAGTACATAAAAAACATAACTTGAAAACAACTAAATATTAAGACAAAAGAGAAGTGGAAGAATAAAGAAAAGCTATAATGAAATAAATGAAGTCATATAAATATCTTCTACATTACTAGAAGAAAAAATTTAAATAGCAACAAAATTCCAGGGAAAAAAAAATGTTTACTTATGAAGTAGGTAAGCTAGAGAATGCTTCTAAAATAAAAGTAAAGGAACCCAAAAGATGAAAATGATAGATAAAAAAGACTCCGTTTCTAGAGAAATAATTGGAAGAAATGGAACAGAGGTGATAAATAAAGATATAATCAAATGAAAATTTTATTTATCTGGGGCAGGGAGGAAAGTCAAATCAGTAAACCAAAGAGACTTGTTGTGTGCCAAAAAAAAATTTTTTTTAAGTTGTCACCTCAAAACAGCTTAGTGATATTTTTAAACTACAAGAAAAAAGAAAGAATTTGGTAAGCATTCAGACACAACTTCCAGAAATGGCAGGTTAGGTTATTCATACCAACTCCAATTGCTAAAATTATTTTCTTAAGAACATCAAAAAGCTCAAAAGATAGTAGGAATGAAGATGCCAAGACAAACTTTAGAAGAAAGTAAATAGCTGGAAAAGTAAATAGCCACAAAGCTGCCTTTTCCCTGAGGACATCTGCTTCTGCAGATAAGACAGAGTTGCAATATCAAGAGACATGGAGCGTATATGTCAAAGTCCAGATCCCACCTGAACTGAGGAACCAAATAGGAAATAAAGCACATTAAACTGAAACTCTAAAGTAAGTAAATGCACCTTCATAACCACAATTGACATGCAGGGGATTTCATGTTGAGCAAAGGAGAAGGAGAAAAATAGAATGAAAAAAAAAAAAAAAAAAACTGTTTCTTAAAAATGGTAACCACAAATGAGCTCTTGCATAGATTTTCAGCCCTAACTCACATCAGTGGGGTGGTCTAGGAAACCTCAAGCTGTAAATTTAGTTTAAAGTGGTTCTGGACTGTTTATACTTCTGGGGCTCTGACAGGAACAAATGCAAATCCTAACTAAAAGAGAAAATTTCACCCTAAGCCTTAGGAAATTCCCACAAATAATTTTTCAAGGACAACTGGTAATACATAGTCAAAAATAACCAAGCCCACAGGGGAACATGATATCATGAGTTAAAACAGAAACACAAATAGCCAGCAAAAAGACATCCACAAAAATGCCCCATATTGGAATAATCAGACACATTATATAACAAGTAGTCTTTCAAGGTTTGAAGAAATAAGGTCAAGATTGAAAATATCTGAAAAGAATTGAAAGCTATAAAATGTAACCTACAAGATACAAGAAAAAACCTGAAAATACAATATCTAAATTTAAGAACTCAATTAAATATGTTTAGCAACAGATTGAACAAAGCAAAAGAGAGAATTACTGAAATGGAAAACAGACCATAAGAAGTCACCCAAAATGCAGCATAAAGAGAAAAGAAAATATGAAAGACAAATAGAGACAAAGGAAGATAAAGAAGGGCCAAGATTAATCTGATTAAAGGAGAGAAGAGATGTGTAACAAGGACAATATTTGAGAGATAAATAACTGATAATTTTCCAGAATTGAGGAAAGATAAAATCCACATTTTGAAAAAAAAAAACAAAAACACTGCAATAATCAACAGGTAAAATAGTTGCAACACAAATAATATCTATGTTGTATTAATATCTGAACAAAAACAAAAAATTCTAACAAAGCTATAAGAATTGAAAATTGGGATTGAAAAGACCTCGAAATAAAAATAGACAAAGGATATGAACAGGCACTTCACAGAGAAAGAAACTTGAATGGCCAAAAGATCATTAACTCAGCAGTAATCGGCAAAATACAAATTAAAATAGATACTAGTTTATGTTTACTACATTAGTAATCATTTTAAAAGTTTAACAAAATCGCCCTGGCCAGTTTGGCTCAGGGGTTAGTGCGTCGGCCTGTGGTCCAGAGAGACTTGGGTTCGGTTCCTGCTAAGGGCACATACCTCGGTTGCAGTTTGTCCCCCACCCTGGTTGGCCGTGCAGGTGGCAGCCACTCGATGTGTCCCTTTCACATCAATGTTTCTCTCTCTCTCCCTCCAACTCTATCTTGAAAAAAAAAATGGACAAAAATTTTCTCAGCTGAGGATAAAAAAAAAAAGTTTGACAAAATCAAGTGTTGAAAATATTGTGGGGAAATCAGTATTCTTTTTTTTTTTTTTTTTTGGTACATGCCCCTAGTGGGAACCGAACCTGGGACTCTCTGGTCTACAGGCCAATGCTCTGAGCCAAACCAGCCAGGGCAAAAATCAGTATTCTTTTACAATACTGATGGAAACATGAATTAGTACAGCCACTTAGAGAATTAATGTAACAGAATCTACTAAAACTAAAAATGCTCATACCCTTATAACCCCAAAATTCCAATTCTAGGACTCTTTCCTAAGGGAAAAAAAATCATTGCAGCATAAGAAAACATTCATATTTATTGCAATGTTATTCAAAATCGTGAAAAATTGAAAGAAAACTACAATAGAAGAATGTGATTGTGTATGCAGGTATCTGGTGGAATACTATGCAACAGTTGAAAGAGACTAATAAGATCTAAATGTTTCATCATGAATAGATCTGAAAAATATACTGTTGAGTGAAGAAGTAAATACATCTTTGAAAGCATAAGCATTAAACTCATTAATAGTCTGAGGTTGGAGTTTTGGAGTGGAGGCAAAAGGATTTTAGCTAATCTGTTGTATCCATTGTTTTCCAAAGTGAATGTACTCATTTTATTGTGTAATTAAAAATTAAAATTTTTAGAAAGTTGAGAAGGATTAAGCATGACAACAGAAAGTGTTTTTGCAAGAGTTTTCATCAATTGCTGTTTCAATTCAAAGTGCCGTCCCCTTTTTTCGCAACATCATAAAACTTAAGTCCATTACTGCTATCAGTTAACATACATTATTCTGTGCTCAAGGTCTTTGACTCAGTCTTAGTTAAAATAACAGTTGTAATGATAGCAATGAGTTTCAGTGCGATTTAATAAGAAACTTTGAGTTGTTAACACAAGTGCTTTTAAAAAGGCAAAGCATTGGGCTAGCCATTACCCTTTGTTTTCACTAGATACTAAAGGAGTTTAGAGAATATTTATATAACAGTTACCATAAAATTTAAATTAAACCTATACTTATTTTGTATCATGAATTTTAAATTGAATTTCTGCCTAAGTTTACAGAATAAGACAGTTTTCCTACAATATTCAAAGGTTTGTTTTAATAATTTCAAGGACTGTTGACTTACAAAATGTTGAGAACATAAATTCTTGTTATAGAAAACTGCATGTTTTAGAATGTCAGACCTAGAGAATTGTCTTTGTTCACATAAAACTGTAAACCATGCTTATTATATAGTTTGCATTTGCTCACTAAGTTTACAATAAACACTCCCGCTGACCCATTCCCCACTCCAGTCTTGTTACAATTAACTCAACCATACTGGATGGCTTCTTTTGGAGGATGAAAAAGTAAGTTGAAGACTCTTTCTTGCAGAACTTATTTTTGCAAGTAAATTAAATAAATGATTCAATCAGATTATTTTGAATAATGTATGAAGCAGGATCTTACTCAACGGCGTGTGATTTATCAGGAACTTAGTCACAGGCGTGGTGATCAACATCTTGCTTTTCCCTTTACAACAAAGGGAAATAAATTCCCCAACCTAGAAAGATTTACACATAAAGATAAACATAGGAAAAAAAGTACTACAGGAAAGCATGTAGTTTAAAAAGAAAATCTCTTGAGTGGAGAAGGTCTAACTAAAACCACAAAAGAAAAAAAAATAGATGAATTCAACTATGTATGAATAAAAAAGTCTAAATTGTCTAAATAAAGTCAAAGCACAAACAATAAACTGGAAGAAAACGTTCATAATTCAAGTTACAAAAAGCTAATTTCATAGAATGTATAAAGAACATATAAAAAATCAATACAAAAAGTGAGTAAAGGTCATGAACAGATAGTTGAGAAAGGAGTACAGAAGAAAATACAAATTCATTCTAAAATAAAAGAAAAACTACAATGAGATACTAATTTTCATTTAGCAGATGAGAAAATATTTTCACGTTTGATAAATACGAGGAAACGGGCACTCATATATTGAGGGGGGAATTTCACCTGTACAAGTCCGGTGGAGCCACTGCGCAATGTCAGTTAACATTTTAAATGCACAACATTGTCATTCCTATATTCTATTCTAGAATTATAATCCAGATATATTCAAATGATGAGCAATGAGGTAAATTCATTGTAGCATTTGCATCATTTACCTGTGCAAAGGACTTCAGAGCCAACTCTCTTCTTGATAGCAGAGGTTCTAAGAAGAGAAAAAAGGGCACAGGTTAGTAATTGAATATTGAATATTAACTCATCCCCAAAACAATTGGAGACATTTAAAGTGGTAGAATGGGAATTTGAACCAAAGCAGTCCGAGGCACATAGTTTTTATACTATGCATTTTTTTAGGTGACATTTACCTTTAAAGCCCCATTGCCTTTAGTAGTCTTTTCAGTCCAAAATCCAAATGTGTAGCACCTCTGTCTTAAAGTATTCTGCTCTCATGACAATTTCAGTGTCTGCTCCTTCATTCCAAAGAGAGAGAGCAAAGCATAATGGTCACACATTGGACCCTGGAGTCAAATTTCTAGGTTCAAATTCTGACCTTCCATACTTATTAGCTGTGTGACCATGGGCAAGTTACTCAACCTCTCTCTGTCTCAGTTTCCTAATGAGTAAAATAGAAATAATAACAGTATTTACCTCTTAGGATCATTGTAAAGATTAGATAAGCTCCTAAGTGAGTGAGTGCCTGCTTTATAGCATGGACTCAATGTTGGCCACTATCGTTATTAATAATAACAGTAGTGTCATAATGGATAATCATTATTATTACAGTCTTCTTATGTCTTTTCACACCCGCACGCATGCACACACACACACACACACAAACACAACCACCAGTTGCCCATTGCCCATGATACTGTATACTACAGAAAAATTTTATCTACAAATGGAATTAGAAAATACTATTTGTCGAACAAAATGGCAGGGGTTGGGAGATAATGATGCCCTGGGTAGTTTTAGAAAACAGAGATACAAGACAGAATACAGAAGACATTCACTCACTTTTAGTCCCCAGCCAATGAAAGCTCCCTGTTTCCAGATAGATAGCAGAAATGGGTAGAAAGTTCCTACTATTTACCAGCTCTACCCCACATTCCTCCTCAGGGCCCTTTCTACAATTCCATTATTGGAAATACCTCCTGGTATAGGCCAGATCTTTAGCTAATATGGCTAGGATTTAGCGCTACTATAATTTCATATTTCTTCTATTGTCTTCATTAATATTTAAAAGGGAATTGGGAAATAAGTCCGTCACACACACACACACACACACACACACACACACACACAGTGAGGAGGATATATAGGAGAATAAAGTTTTAACCTGAACATTTTCTCTAATGAACTAAATAGACACCTACAAAATTAGTTACAACTCAACATCCCTTCCCAGGAATACAGTAATGTCTACCCTCATGGAAATTCAATCTCCTGCTGACAATACAGAGCAAATCAATTGGAAAAAAAAAATTTTAGGTCTTGCAAAATGAAAAAGACAAAATAGGCACCTCTGAGAGAAGGATTTGAATATAAAAGTATGAAATGGATTGTAGAGAAAAGAGGCCCTTAAAATTTTTTGCAAAAAAATGACTGTACATGATCACACTAAGAAAAGTCAAAAACACAAAGAAGAAAATGCCATATTCTATGATCATACTCATTGTCAGAAAGTGTATGTCAAAAATATTTGATTCGTCTTGTTTTAAATCAATGCAGAGTTACAGGCTAAATTTTCTAATGTAAAATAAAATAAATTTATTTAGTGATTTCATTTTGTTTTCAAGATAATGCTCTAATGAAACCTTTATTCACTATTTAAACATTTTTTATCACTATTTCAAATGGATTCCTCTTCAAAGCAGCCTTGTTCTAGTACCCATTTCCACTGACCGTAAGGACTGCATAATGGAAGTAGAACCCAAGGACTTTCAAACACATACCTTAAGGTCCTACTCCTTGTTCTCAGTCAAGGAATCTCACCGAAAATAAAGAGTCTGCATTGTTTTTCTAAACCTCAGAAAACATAGAAAATTAAGTACATTGTGTTCAACCTTCTAACAATGTGTTCAACTTGACAATTTTAAATTATAACAAAGGCCTCAAAACCGTAACACTTGGATGGAACATCGTAAAGCTACTTTCCATTAAAATGGTTGTTACTATATATAGTTCAAATGTATATCTTAAATTTATGTGTTTGGAAAACTCAACACAGATTACAGGATTAGTGTTCGCTACAGCTTTCCGACTGGATCTAAGCCTACAGCAGAAATAAAGATTCTCCCCCCCCCCACACACACACACACACTATCACCATTAACATGAATAAAGAAGCTAAACAAATCCAGACTAGTTGCTTTGATTAAAACCATGAAGTCAGAGTGCGTTTTGCAGGACAGCTCTGTTGGGCTAACTCTACCTCTGGGGGCCAGACTTCATCCGTGTGTCTCTGATCCAGATCTCTCTCTCTGGTTGACAAAGTTTCAACATGGAAATGAGCGCGGGTCAACCTTCCTCAAGTCCTGAGGAAACGCAGGGCGAGTTTGTCCTTACAGCAAGTCATTTTTCAGACCTGAAAACAACCAGACTCCACGGCTTCTGGCCCAGTTCACTCTGCTCAGATTTCACGGTCTAGAATCCAACATCTTTGTCAAAAACACCTTCTTCAAGATTTAATAGCAATTCAACTGAAGCACTATGGCAGAGAAGTCATCAAGATTGGTTCCAATGTTCCTGTCTAAAAATCCATGACTGCCTGGCCAGTGTGGCTCAGTGGTCAAGTGTCAACCCATGCACCAAGGGGTTGCCAGTTTGATTCCCAGTCAGGGCACATGCCCAGGTTGTGGGCCTGATCCCCAGTGGGGGACATGGAGGAGGCAGCCAATTAATGTTCTCTCTCATCGATGTTTCTCTCTCTCTCCCTCTCCTTTCCTCTCTGTCTAAAAACAATAAACACATTTTTTTTTTCAATAAATAGAATAGAAATAAATAAATAAATAAGCCCTGGCTGGTTTTGCTCAGTGGTTAGAGCATCGCCCGTGGACCAGAGAGTCCCAGGTTCGGTTCCCACTAAGGGCACATACCTCGGTTGCGGTTCGTCTCCAGCTCCAGTTGGGGTCGTGTGGGTGGGAACCAGTCAATGTGTCTCTCTTATGTTGACATTTTCCCCTCTCTCTTCCTCCCTCCCTCCCTCCCTCCCTCCCACTCTATCTGAAGATAATGCAACAAGGTCCTCAGGTGAGGATTAAATAAATAAATAAAAATCCAGGACTAATATGGTAGAAGGTCATGAGTGAGACTAAAGAACCTAAGGCGAGCATGCTTAACCTGGGGCTCAGGAGTAAAAGTTGAGAGGTTCATAATCATGTGGGAGGGGAATTACACATTTTCTTTTTCACTACACTCTAACTTGACATTTCACTCAATTATAAATACAGGCAATAGATCAACGATATGAGCAGCATGTGTGATTGTGTCACCAACAGAAATCACAAATATTATCACACCACATTATATATAGCTGCTACAGGTATCTAAAAATATCCTTTATCCAATTTATCCAATTTCAAAATCACCGTAGTAGTTAAGGTGTTGCTAGAATTGCATGATTACCGTCTCTCGCTTGCAGATGCTCAGCATGCACCAGGCTAACCAGCTACTGAACAGCTGTGCACTTCCTGGCCCTTCAGCCACCGTGTTCCACGGCCTCACATTAAAGTCGCATGTTTTCACATACGGGACCCAGATCCATGCTGCTTTCCAGCATTCCCTTCTGCAATTACTGGTCAACCCCTGAGAGTTGAGCCAGAGACCACCTCAGAGTTTAATGTTCTCATTTCAGCTAAGCAACAGTAGTCTTTACACAAATACTGCATTTTTTTTCCCCCCGTTTTCTGTTCAGATAGAGAGGGAAGGAGAGAGAGAGAGAGAAACATCGACATGAAAGGGACACATGGAGTGGCTGCCACCCGCACGACCCAACCAGGGCCGGAGACAAACCGCAACGGAGGTACGTGCCCTTAGCGGGGACCGAACCCGGGTCTCTCTGGACCACAGGCCGATGCTCCAACCGCTGAGCCAAACCCGCCAGGGCACAAATACTGTCTTTCATGAATAAAATTAACTTTAATTTCACCATACTTTAAAGGCATTGTTGTATAATTTAATGTATTAATAAAGAAGTGCATATATGACTATACCATAATTTTAATATTTTGATAACTGTGTATAATGTTTTCTCTGTGATTCAATGTACAGGCATGCACAGCTGAATGATGAGGATGTTCTGAGAAGTGTGCTGTTAGGATTTCATTGCTGGGCTAGCATCACGGAGTGCGCTTACACGCCCCTGGATGGTACGGCCCGCACACCCACGCTCCATGGTACAGCGTACTGCTCCCAGCCTACACACCCATACAGCATGTCACTGTACTGAATACTGTAGGCAACTGTGACATAATGGTAAGTACTGGTATATCTGAAAATATGTAAACACAAAAAGGGTACAATAAAAATATAGTATTAAAGATAAAAAATGGGATACCTATATAGGGCACTTACCATGAATGAAACATGCAGGACTGGAAGTTGCTCTGCGTGATTCTGCGAGTGACGAGTGAATGTGGAAGCCTACTGCGCAGACATGACAGACACCGACACCCAGGCTGCAGGGTGGGGGTGGGCAAAGGGGGGGAATGGGGACATCTGTAATAGTGTCAACAATAAAAATAAAGTTTAAAAAACTATGAAGTAGAAAGGTAAATATTACTTAAAAATATTTTTCTTTCTTCAGGAATAAATTAACCTTAGCTTACTTTAACTTGTTACTTTATAAACATTTTAAGTTTTTTAAAAATTTTTACTCTTTTGTAACAACTTACTTTATTTAAAGCACACACTGTACAGCTGTCCAAAGGTATTTTTTTATATCCTTATTCTACAAGCCTTTTTCTATTTTAAAACATTTTTGTTTTACATTGTAAACTTCTTGTTAAATACCAAGACACACACACACACACTGGCCTGGGCCTACACAGCGTCAGGGTCATCAATATTACCACCTTCCACCTCTGCATTTTGTCCCACCACTGGGAGGTCTTCAGGGGCAATCACACAAATGAAGCTGTCATCTCCTATGATGACAGTGCCTTCTCCTGAAACACTTTCCGAAGGGCCTTCCTGAGCCTCCTCTGAGGGGGTGGCACTCTTTTCAGAAGTATGTCCCTGTTGTTGTTGTTTTTTCCATCATAGATTTGCTTGGAAGTAGATAATGTACCATAAACATTGCTCTCAATTAATAAAAACCTTTTGGTATTGGGGGTCCATGTTTCCAAACATTTTTAGGAGCTTGTTGAGGTCTGCAAAAGCTTCTGCTACACCCTTCACTATGAATTTCCTTGAGGATCCTTCTTCCTCTTCTTCCCTTGAAGTTTCCTTTTCTCTTTCCTATTCTTCAGCTGTACACTCCTATATCAGTTCCAAAACGTCACATTAATCAGCTCTTCGGAGGCCGCCTCCAGAAGCTCCTCAACGTCATCCGCATCCACACCCAGAGTGAAGTTCTTACCTGTCTCACCCACAGCCTTGTTGATTGTTGCAGCCTCTTCTTCATTCTTGGCAAATCTTTTGAAGTCATGATCAGACGTCTCAAGTGTCTTCTTCTATATGTCATTCATACTCTCCTTGGTGACATCACTCCAAGCCCGAGCAAGGTTCTTGATGCAGTCATACATGTTGTAACCCACCTAGAACTACATCAGTGACTTCTCAGAGTCTTCCTCAGTTGCAGCAAAGATTCTCCTCAAGTAATAGGTCTTAAAAGCGGCTATAAACTCCTTGATCCATTGGTTGGATCAACAAGGTGGTGTTTTGGGGGGAGAAACACCATTTTGATATGGGATGAAGATCACCAATAAAAGGAGGATGTCCACAAGCATTATCAACAACAAGCAAAATCTTGAAAGGCATGTTATTCCCCAAACATGGCATAGAAATTAAGGAGGACAGCTTCAAAGAGGAGCTGGGTCACCCATGACTTCCTATTGACCCTGTAACACACTGGCACTGTGGGCTTACTGATATGTTTGAAGGCTCTGGTATTCTCATTGTGCCAGATCACAAAGCACTCAGACTCACTGCTCACTTTCAAATTATTTAATAAATAATGATTTCTAAAGTGTTTAAATCACCCAGAGCTAGCAATAAATTCCACATAGTGGTCAAATCCAGCCTTTTCTTTCAACATGGCAAACTAACTTTCTACTTTGGTCGTGATTGTCATGGTGCTGAGAGAGATACACTTCTGTGTCTGGTCTACAATCCAGGTCATTAAAAGTTTTTCCCTGTCTGATACAGGCCTTTTTCAAATTTTCGTTAGTCTCATTGCAGTCAACAAAGTGGAGCCTTTAACAATTTTCAACACTTTACTCCTATACTTCAAGATCATAGCTATTGTGGAATGGGACATGCTTGACTGGCAAGCAATAACCATCGTTGATTTTCCACCTTCATAAAACTTAATCACTTTTAATTTTGTTTCCAGGTCAATCACTTGACATGGCCTCTTACTGGCAACATCAGCAGTGGATTTTGTATGCTTAGAGTCTAGGAGGAACCAAACAACACGAGATTAAATCAAGCACAAGAAAAAATGATGCAATCAAGAGACTTGATAAACACAAGCTATACAAAGTTGCTGCTGGCAAAACATAGCATTCTACACTGTTTTACAGCAAACTTTTTTATAAGTAGAAAGAGTACACTGAAAATAATGATGAAAAGTACAGGATAGTAAATACATAAACCAGTAACATTCATCATTGTCATTATCAAGTATTATGCACCCTACATAATTGTATGTGCTACACTTTTATATGACTGACAGCTTGATAGGTTTGTTTATACCAGCATCACCACAAACACGTGAGTAATGCATTGCACTACTACCTTATGATGGTAACAACGTGATGAGGTGATAGGCATTATTCAGCTCCATTATAGTCTATGGGACCAATGCCCTATGTGTAGTCCATAGTTGACCTCCAGATCATTTTGCAGTGCATAACCATATTTTATTTTATTCACTTAAACACACTATTCTGATAAGGGTTCCATAAGCTTCAACAGATGGTCAAAAGGACTCATGGCACTAAAAAGGTCAAGAGATGCTAACAGATCAAGGGCAAAACTACAGTCAAGGCAAAATGCACTTTTCTCTAGGAAATTGGGTCCTATAGATATAGTCAATTCATCTGATTTAGACCAAAATTTTTCATTGGAATTTCATATATAACTATCCTCCCACCTACATCAACTATAAGCACTAAACTTTTCAATCTGGCAAGTAATTGCTAAGAAGCCTTTTTTTTTTAAATTATCATTGCAAATGTTATTGGTGGGGTGCCTTCCTCATCCCTACCTGTTATCGGTGGAAGTGGAGTGCTTGAGATGTCACAAGAAAAGGAATTTCCTGAAACTCACATAGAAGGATGAGTGATCTTCTGTGGAATTAAATCCCTGGGTTTCCATTGTCCCATTTCCCTCCATCTCACCATGAAAAAAGTCCAGTTATGTCTTCAGCAGGGCTAAAATTAAGACCACTTCCCAGAGTCTCTGCTCCAAATTAAAGCACAGTCCAGTCCAGCATCCTGTGTGTGGAGTCCACATGGCCCTGGGCCAAGCAGCTGCTTAAGGTCACATGGCTATGGAAAGGGAGTACAGGTCACAAAAGAGAGCAAGAGCAAGAACAAGTAAGAAAATGAAAACTCTTTGTCTCAGGATTATAACCAGGAGTTTAACCAATTAACCCTTCAAGATTGTGGGCACTTGCAGTGGATTCACCCCTTTAACCAATTAGCTTTGTTTCTGGGTTAGATTGACAGGCAAGAACCTTTCCTATGCCATCCCAACTTCACTGTGCATGCACCCATCTCCCCCTTTGTTCGATCCCTTCCCCCAGTGATCTGCATAGAATGGGCCAGTGGTTCCCTGGGGAGAGTGTGAAGTTTAGCTTCCTGGTGAATCTGCCCAGATAACCATGCTTATAATGTCTAGCCTCCCCTTTGCTCTCCTCCTATTAGTAATGTTAGTAACTAGTTAATTATGACAATAACACAAGCACTATGAGCCAAGGAAGAAGTCCTAGAGACTATCTCACTTGAACTTCCTTTCCTAACCACCTTCATCATATTGTATAGAAATACCGACACTATATTCTTCCATCAATACAGAAATACACAAGATCCCTATCCATTCATGTTCAGTCATGCTCAACACAAGATAGTTTCATTGAATGCTGCCAAAACCATCAGGTCTCATGTTAAAGCATGCCCCCTTTTTAAAAGAGAAAGTATATAGCATGACGGATTTTGAGGCTCAGTTTATAAGGAGGTGATTCAAAGGAAAATTCATTGCTATTGTGTTTGCTGGATTTTTTTCCACCTAACATCACAGACTGGCCTTTCCTCACAACACAATGCACATGCCCTTGTTAGTCAGTAAAAAACCTTTCCCTCACTGACCTTTGATAAATTCTCCTGACCCCTCCTTTTCATGCCTCTTCCTCCTCTCCCTCTCAATAAACCTTAAATTGTGACTTAGAAAGTCCTGAATTGACTATAACACATTTTCCCATTTACATGAACATTTTGTTCATTTCTTCTTCATAATCGTCCCCTTATCAGAAACCTAATTCTCTAGAACACACTCATTTCACTTGCTCATTTCACTGGCATATATTGACTGTATAAAATGCGCCTCAAGAAATGATATTCAGGAGAGGAATACAAGATAAAATTTACATGGCCAAGCACTATGATGAGTGCTATAGCAGAGGATTGTTCAAAGTGCTATGGAAATACAAAGACTGGAGAGGCTGGCTCTGCTGGGGAAAGTCAGATTTGGTTCACAGAGAAGGTAATCCCGGAGACAGGTATTAAGGAAAGGGGCTTGAAAAACAGAACATACACTAAAATTGATGATATCATAGGAGGAACATTTTCTGTACTGCAAAAGACATGTTGGAAGAGATCCGAAATCATTCAGGGAGAGAAATCTTACATGAGAATCAAACTTAAACTAGTTAATTTGCAGTTAAACAGAGAAATAGAACTTAATGTTAATCTTGACCCACTCTTCTGGAAACCTCACTAAAATGGCATTAAAGGGATTTTTTAAGGTAGGAACAAACACACAGGTACAAAGAGAACAGCAGAAGAGATGAAAGCAGTACAAATTTGGAAACAAGACAGCAGACCGGAGAAAGTTAAAACCAACTGGCCATGAAGGAAGCCCAGAACTACACTAATTTGGACTGTAGAATCCAAGAGGGCCTCGGTAATTGGAATACTCAGGTATCCTACAGAGCAGGGTGTAGGTGGAGCAAAATATGGGTGAGCTAATTGAAAAGTCTGAATAAGAAGTAGTAAGATTCCTGGACCACCAGCTGGGTGACAGCTCTTCCCCAACTCTGGCAGAAGGATGAAGGCTTTCTTTTTTTTACTTATTGGAACAAGTAGACTCTGGACTTAAGAACACCAGGCTCATTGAAAACTGGAGTAAAATGTGTTACTAAAAGAAAAAAGAAGGGAAAATAATGGAAAGAACATACTGAAATGATGATATTTGGTAGCCCCTGTTCTTAACTTGGTTCCCAGAA